TCCCGTCCCTGGGTCTAGGACAGCTCCTGAAAGCCAGCGGGGTCCCCAGCAGCCAGCCCACCCCTCCGTCCAAGGGTGAGGAAGCATCAGCCTGCGCTCAGCCCTCCCGCTCCCAGAGCGACCCCGCGCTCCTCGCCCACTTCCCCCCCGCCAGGGCACTTCCTCCGGCGGGTTCCTCACACGCCTTTCTCACCGCAGGCGCTCCAGCTGCTCCCACCGCTGCTCTAAACTCGAGCACGGCCTCGTTGGGGCCTCCAGGATTTCCAGACAAGGACACACAGCCTGCCGCAGGAGCAGCAGTAAGGGCATTTCCCCGTTCGATCCACATCTGGCCAGACCATCGGAGCGCGTGTTTAACGACCACGCTGCCTCAAGCGCCACGAGACCCGCGCACGCCCCCGCCAGTCCCCAACCCTCCACGCACCTGATTTTCGGTTGACCTGATTCTGTGGAATGATGATCTGGCACGAGTTGGCATCGTTTGTATTCTTGATGGGGTGGCTCAGGATGCAGATTACCCGAATCACTTGGCCGACCTTCGTTACGCGGTCCGAGACGTAGCTGGGGTCGCAGATGAGCTGTTTGCAGCGAGCGACCTGCAGGGACAGACGGACCTCGGGTGACCACCGCGCGGAGGTGTGCACACAGCCAGCCAGCGGCGAGGAACTGGCCCGTTTTGAGGAAAACAGAGAGCGTTTTGAGGCAGCCCTTCCTGTATCAGGTTCTTATTTCACTGCCAGCAGCACGCTTCAGCTTGGACAATCCAAATCTCAGTGCATTGCTCTTAAGAGACTACACAGAGCTGTACGAGCAACCACATCTTCCCCTTCAGCCAAGTACGCAGTTCAGCTCTAACCACCACAGAGTCCAGTCCTTCCTGTCTAGGACCGTAACGTGCAGCGGTCACGGCTGAACCAAACAGATAAGAATTGGCCATTCTACACCCAGGTGGCCAAGAGGGCCAGCGGCATCCTGGCTTGTATCAGGGGTGGTGTGGCCAGCAGGAGCAGGGCAGGGACCGTGCCCCTGTGCTGGGCACTGGGGGGGCCGCCCCTCGAGTGCTGGGGTCAGGGTTGGGCCCCTCCCTCCCCGAAGG